TCACTCCAGAGTGAAACTGTTGGAGGATGTGTAGACATTTGGATGGACAGCCAAACTCTTCAAGGACATCCCTCATGCTCTCCGCAGGCCATGAATACCCACACGAACACATGCACACACACCCTTGAAAGTTTCACATGAACGCACGCACAAGCCCACACTTGGACTTACTTGACTGCCATCTTCCTGTAGGGCATCAACAGAGCATCAGCATGAAACTTGAGTGCAACAGACAGGCAAACAAAATAAACCCTGCACAACCTATGATTGTACAGCCATAATCTGCGATTCTCTCACAGCAGGTCAGGGAGTTTTTTAGAATGCTAAAATCACTGCTCGATCACAATCAAACTCCTGTGGAGCGACTTCCCCTGGAGATGTGCTTCCTTAGCCACATTTGCATAAGATCTGTTTTGTCTAGACAACAAAAGACATGAGTAACTTACTTTTAACAGCATCAGACGCGCGCGCTCACAAGATCTCCCGATTCTTACGTGTGAATTCAGTTCACTGGAAACTCGCACTAAACGGATAATTTTAATCAGTGAGTTGTCGACTTGAGAACATCTGCAATCGGATCATTCCAATTCGTGAATGAATCGTTTGGTGCGATTTGCGAACCGATTTAACGGGTTAATTGAAAATAATTAGTTTGTTCTTGAATCAGACACCGCTCCTGCGTCTCGGAGCACGTGGTGTATTATAAGGAGTAACGATAGGTTTTATGAAATGTAGTGAAGTAAAAAGTACGATCTTATGCTTTGGAATGTAGTGACGTAAAAGTAGAAGTTACTCAAAATAAAACTACTCCAGTAAAGTACAGATACTTGAAAAATTTACTTAAGTACAGTAACGAAGTAAAACTACTTCGTTACTGTCCACCACTGGCTACGGATCAATTTGGTCACTAAAGACACTAACACCAAAATATAGCAAATGCTTCAAACATGCAAATGTTACTTTAGATGAAAGCCGTACAGCATAAGCCAAACCAGTATCATCATAAAATGTAAACTGTACAGTAGCGGTGTTCCAATTGGTAAGGTCCCTATGTAATCTTAACTTCTCTTTACTTACCTGCAATTGAAGTTCACTTAACTTGACAAAATGTGTTAATTCGGAATACCTTGCAACATCATCACAAATGAACAAAACTTGAGTCGCTCAGACTAGATCCATCTGTATTTATTTAAATATACATGTATTATTAATGTAATTCATATAAATGGTCGTATTTTAAAGCACTAAACTGAGTGATATATGTCTGTTACTTTGTTTAATATGACAATTTGGCAACACAGTTTGGTTATATTAAAATTGAATTAAATCTGTTCATCATCCACTGTAATTAAAGCAACTACATATTTTACATTTTATGAAACCCTTTGAGTCTTAAATTCTAAGAAATGTAATTTTCTACATGAGCTACATAAAAACTCGTGTCAGATCAACAGAGTTCCCCCAAATGTTTCCCCAAAGAATTTAATATTGATGAAATGCTAAGGGTTTGTGGGTTACCAGCATGCATTGCAGCATGAATAAATTATGTGTTTACATAAGATTGTTGTTTTGCTGTTTGCTGACTTTATTTAAACATTTGTTTCTTTATTGTCATTATTGTTAAAGGTGCCGTAGGAGATCTTGGAAAATGCTAACTTTAGCCTGATAGCACTGAACGCGACCATCCCACCCTCTCTGCAAATCGCTGTTCAAAGCCACGCCCCCTGAACGCATACATTAGCAGATCAGTCACCCCTAGAGGACGCAGTTCGAAGTTCCCATGAAAGGGAACTTTATAGCAGTTATAGTTTGTAAAAGTACTACAATACCAGGAAGGAAAATCAGGTTGCTCTGTCTGCAATAGTGAATGCGAACGCGCTGATGACGTATCCTGTCTGCGCGAACCGGGTGCGCAGAGGTATGCTAATACACATGTTGACAGGCAGGTAGGAAAGTCAATCAAAACGCTCGGACCGAGCGTTTTGATTGGACGAACATTTCTTGGTCCTATGCCTTCCACAGAATATATAAATACAGATAAATACATTTAGACCACTTAACTTAATGATTGCTATCGGGATGTGAAGAGACATTCAACCAGCATAACAAAAAATGTTTCGGAAGACAATCACCTATTGCACCTTTAAATGTTGTGTTGTGATTTCTTGATAGTCACCATTCTTGGATTTTGTGTCGTGTGTTGAGGCCTGCAGTATGTACAACCATAAAAAAAAACTATATCCTGGATATCTTTGCTACGTCCAACATATGAAGTGTCCTATAAGACTATACAGTATATATGGCTATCAAAAATATATATATAAATTGTTTTACTGCTAAACAAGAAATCTGTTGTCTTTACAAACTTATTGGCTAAATGAGGTATTTTGCATTTAATGAACAAACAAATTCAAAGTAATGTTACGTAGTATAATTATTAAGAGAATCATTGGGACATCTTATCTGAATGCATCATGTTGCCTTGGATTTTTGACCTTTTTTAACAATTTATTTACTCTTCATAAGGCTTGGATTAAACAGCCTGATTAATATGGATTCATTTTACAATGACTTTATAACCTTTTTGAATGTTTTGGTTACATGGACGTTCAATAGAGAGACAAAAAGCACTGATGTTTCATTAAAAAAATTATTTTCCAAAGATTAACCAAAGTCTTATGTGTGTGGATCTACATGATGACAGAATTTTCATTTTTAGGTGATCTATCCCTTCAAGATGGTGTAATAACCTGTAAAGTCCACTTCTCGGGGCTCTTAATCGAAAGGAACACCTTGTCTCTAATTCTTCCGTGATGTCATCACACACACATGCATGGCCTTTGAGTGTAGCTTTGCCTACTCTACAGGTATCTGTCCATCTGCTTTCACCTTCTGGAGCAAAGAAGGGTATTTAAGATAGGCTGCACTATAATAACAGTAAAAATTAGCATCATTATTATTGCCTATGCATCTCAGTGCGTAAATAGCACTTGTATGTGTGTGTGTCAGTGATTGAGCGAGGTACAACAGAGGTGTGAAAGGCCAGACATTAGCTTTATCACTTGTGTGGTAATAAGACAGAGTGTCTACAGGAAGCAATGGGAAAGGTTTCACATTTGATGAAAACTGGCATGACAGAGGGCTTCATTTGTTGCTTGCCGCTGAGAGGCTAGGTGTCATCTCTTCTCGTGCTAACATCATTTCCTAAACGGATCTTTTGAAAATACCATATGGGCCTCATTTTTCATTTAATGTCATGATTGTGTAATATATAATTTTTAAATATGTTATTAAGTGTTATTCTTTAAACAATTTGGTGCTTCATTATGTATAGCAGTGTCAAATGTGTCAAATCAATACAGCGAATGTCTATGTGCCATGAAATAAATGTGTGTATGCCAAGGAAAGATGGAGACAGAAAGAGTTTGTGGAGATGCTATCTGTTCTCTGATGTTCAGTTTGCATCTGTGGCATCACAAAACATCACTCATGCGGTTTGGTGAAAGATACACCAATGGCATCAGCAGTACTGCAGAAACACGCACGCACACATAAATTCTGCAGGTATTACTCTGCCAATCTAAAAGTCTGCTGACAGAGTCAGTCATTTATATTTCAGATGAGCCACAGAAATTGTGAAGGAAAAGGAATGAGTTTGGGTTACAAAAAATAGGCGTCATTCACACTCAAAACACAGCAGCATATGGAGAAATACAAGCAGAGCACCCTGGGCACTAGAGATGTAGATATCTAGCAGATGCAGCAAGTAGATTATTGATGAAAGAAATTGATTGTTTGTAAATGAAAGTGGTGCAGGCAGATAACTGACAGTCATATTAAAGTAATATCCATTTATTCTTCTGAACCGTGCACTGAAATGTGTTCTTATTGGCAGGTTCTTTATATGCTCTATATGGCAGGTTCTTTATATGCACTGGATTCAAACAAACAGCATTTCCACACTTCATCCACCATGTTGACATTGTCTTTGGACATATGATTAACTGACAACAACTGCAAAATAATGTGTAAATATTTAGCCACAAGAAACTACTTTCTTACCAAAAGCACTTGACTCACAATTGTTAGCCATTTTTGTCTACTTCTCTCAGCTACTATGGCCTTATGGGACAGAAAAGTGTCCACTAGCTGCATGCACACTTCATTATCTCAGCAGATGCAGTAGGTCATTCGGGTATTGCTTGTCTAGTTTTATAAATACTACATATTCTGACATTCTACTCTTTTTGCATAGTGTGTAGCAAGGAAGTACACTAGAAACAAGAATATAAAATATGATGCTTGTATAAAATATGATACTCATAAAATAAATACAAATAAAGGCACAGTAACAAAACTCCATACAACATCTTTCATACAATCTTTCCATATAAATAAAGAGTTGAAGAGAAATTTCAGAGAAAGCTGAGTATGAGCACAACAGTGACAGGCAAAATGAAAGACTATTTTGCTCACACATACTGAGAAATAATCAGAATAACAGAGAAATGATTGTATGGGTGCTATGAAAACTGGTGGCTTTCAATAATCAATATAATCCTTTATGGAAAGTACACATTCATTAAAGAAATGTTAATATTAAGGGGAGACAGATTGACATTGTTTTCATTTATGAATTGTTCTCGCTGCCTGTTAATTCGTGGTCTGTCAAATGCTTGGGCAGGGAATCTGTGCACTTTTTTACTGATGCTTTGGATGGTACGCTTTGGTTGCAGAGTCTGTTCATAAACACAACAGAGATTTTTTGTTTTTGATATAAAGAAACAAAAAAGGTGACGCACGCGTGACAGTTCTGGTTTTGCAGCTGCCGCGCACCAGTCCTACGTGTGAACTACTCCAGAATATCAAAGCCATCACTATACAAAACTACAGATAAGATGACCCACTTGTTCCATTTTAACTTTACAAGTATATATTAGTAACTATTACCAAAGTAAGGCTCTTTCAAGTGAAATACGTTGGATAAAGTTTACACTCACGCTGCTGTTGTGTCCGCACCACAGCACCATGGCCTGATTATGAGCCGAATCTGCGGACAGCGCAAAGGTGGACGTGATCAGGTGTGGCTCATTCTGCCTCGGGCTCTTCCCGGTACCGTCAACTCCTCCAGTACGCCTGAACTCGAACCGAGAACCGGCCGCGCTGTCAGACGGAAACAGACTGCGCTTTTCTCTCCTGTTCACTTTGGTTTCCTTTGGAGACCATGTTGGATAAACTTTTCCGTCTTTTTCTTCAGCTGGGCTCGTCCGTTCCGCTTTGGATATGTGCGCGTTCTGCAGTTTCTCTCTCCAAGACACGAAAGGAGATTTTTTTTGCGCTTCGTGGGAAAGTTGAGCTCCATCAAGTCTCAATTTCCAGTTTCTATCAGTACTGCCGTCCGGTGCACTTCCAAAATCACGGCTGACAAAAGCTGCCCGACGTATTGGTGCGAAGCACGAGGCGCAAGTGATATCTGCGCGCACTGGGAGCGGCACGAGAGCGCAGAGAAAAAACAGCGTCCAGTACGTCCAGCTCGACTCGAACCCCACGACATCCTGCGTCTTAATCATCCTCCCTCTCATTTTTACCTTTTAGACCCTACCAAGTCCACGTACGTTCCCTTAAAATCCCAGCATAAACAACTAAATTAACTTTTCGCCACGGTAGTAACGTTGGGGGATACCTGTATAACGGTGAATGTGTCTTGATGTGCGGGTTCGGTCGGTTCTGAGCGGGGTGTAGTTACCGGAGGGGTGGAGCCGCTTAGTGACATGCTCTCACTCACTCACTCCGCTTGGATCGAGCTCGGGAGCAGAGTGTGTGACAGGTGACTGCATCTTTTCATATTAATATGTAAGCAGGAAAACAGATAACCTCGTCTGCCGTCACATCAGTGAGAGACAGATTTTAAATACGGAAACAAAATGAAAACCAGTGATAAGTCTTAATTTTAAGAAATGAATTTGTTTAACAGTGACTTACGCTCCTTCAATAAACTTGTATCATTTACTCTCCCTATTGTCCTTATAAACGTGTTGAACATATAGTGTATAGAATCAGTATGCATTACTTTTTCCATATACTGGCAGTTCATTGTGACCACATATATCAGTCTCCAAAAATGAACAAAAAATTCCATTAAAAGCACCGTGGAAGTGGTCCATATGACTTTTATTTAGGCCATACAAGTATGAAAATGTAGATTGTTATTCCCTCACACTCTAACTATCTAATTTCACTATCAATTCTGCAGATTAAAAGTGCTGAGTTGCTTTGAAAACACGTGATAAGCAATGGTATTCGGCATAAATGGTGTCAAAGATAGCTAGGTGGATTGACATAGAATCTTTTAAATCTAAATTCGGTTGCGAATGAGATTTCAGAGCTTCAGTGGAGGGAAGGGGAGGGAAGGGGGGAATTTTTAACAGCTTACATTTTAGTTTGTTCCTCACACAAAGCTATAGAAGTTTAAAAGAATCCCACAATCAACATTTACACAATGTACCAAAATATAAACAGTTTTCTTTTTAAGCAAATTTAGTAGCTTAATAATATGTTTGCTCAGAAATGTAGTCAAGTGTTCTTCAGTCTCTCAAGCTTACATGAAGAACAAAGAAGATTTTACAAAGAAGATGCATGATAAACATAACATGATACCAGAAAGATATTGGCCCTGCATGGTGTGTTATACCACAATATAGTTCATAAATACCAGTGATGTTTTAATGTGTGACTGCATAATTGTGCAGGAAGTTGAGTCATCTGTGTCCCAATTTTAAAGTTTATCAAGGCGATTTCTAGTGCCCAAATTCATGTTTACAATAGGTTGATTGACACGTCAGAATATATAAGTAGTGTGGAGTAGTTTTATGGAGTTTTTTGGTCATTATGAAAACTCTCAGAGCATGGAAAAGATTCTTCAGAAATTCTCCTTTTTTGCTTCACTGAATAAATAACACCATACAGGTTTGTATAGAAGCCAGTTTCTGCCTTAGATTTAAAAAAAAAGATATAATAAAGTTTAAAATAAGAAATAAAGTCACATTGTGTGAAATACATTTGCAATTGTGCACCATAATGTCACAACTGATAAATACGGTTACTATTGTGAGACCTTATTTGTTTCCTCAGTGAAAGAATCTGGCTTCTGTACACTGAAAGAAAAAAAAGGTTAAAAAAAATACTGGTAAGTTTCTGCCAGGACATTATCTGTTAAGTTTACAGACATTTCCATTAACCCTAAAACTCAACACAATGCAATGTGCGATTCAAAATACAGTCTAAACATCTGTGAAAAATCAATACAGAAAATTCCTTCATATTAACACAGTGCACTGTGCCCTAGTTTTATGGACTTTTCCTAGAGTGTATGCTCGAATGACACCAGAGTAAGTAAATAATGACAGAATTTTCATTTTCCACGAGCTATTCCTTTAATTTCAAAGTTAAAACCTGAAAACGAGGTTTAGTATTGATCTGTTGCAAGACACAACAAACAGTAATCTATATATAAGTTTAAAGCATTTAGATTATCTGTATAGATTATCTGTATAAACATCCTAATCAATTTGGGAAAGATTAAAAAAAGGGAATGCAAGCATGAAGAAGATTTGCATTCATTATTAATTTAAAACAACCGGTCGATTACATGATTAGAGACAGAAACATACATTAAGAGAGAGAGAGAGAGAGCAGGGGATGTCTTTCCTCTCCTTTGGGAAGGAAATGGCATGTGTTTGAAGCAGGAGGGGTGGTAAGGAAAACACTTTATGCAGTAGTGTTAAAATATGCACAATTACAACTGGCTCTCTGTATGAACTGGAACACTTTCACACGGACACACACACATACAAACATGCATGTTCAGCCTGACATGAGGAAGGTCAGAAATATCTGATCCCCTTTTTCTCACCACAATTAAGGTGATCTGGAAATTACCCTAGCTCTGTCCATCACAGAAAACCCAGAGGATTTACGTAAGTGCCATAGATATCTTTATTTTCTAGCACTCAGCTGAAATCTAACCCTTGCTAACAGCTAGAATGATTTATTGAACTGTATTGCAGTCACTGTCTTAACTCAACTGACCTACCTGTTAAGTTGACCTGATTAAATTTATTAGCACATTCAAGTTGAATAAACACTTTATGCAATACGCAATGTTACTGAGTGTGTGAGATTCATTTTTTTTTTTAATAAAAGTTTTTTTTTTCAACAAAGCTTAGTTGGATAGTTCACCCTTTCCAAAAAATACAAATTCTGTCATCATTTACGTACCCTCATGTTGTTACAAACCTGTATGCATTTCTTTGTTCTGCTGAAGAAAAAAGAAGATAATTTGAGGAAATTTACAGTTTCGATTTCCATTTACTTCCATTGCATGAAAAAACATACAATAGAAGTCTATCTATCTATCTATCTATCTATCTATCTATCTATCTATCTATCTATTCATTCAAACTTGAAGCTTTTCACAGTTGTGCAAAGGAATGGTATAGTCACTAATTTACCTGTGTTTATATGCATGTGAGTTTTCAATATAGTAACCACCCTGTTTCACCATCTGAATGCAATTGATATGACCGTGTACCTCTCAACAAATTAAATCAGCTGTATAAAAAAAAAACAGAGTAAAAAAAAACTGAACTTTTAAATGCACTAATGGTGTGTCATTTTACATGAATAATACAGCATCAGCTTTTTCAATGGGATTCCTTCCCCTTATTCATAAATCATTTGTTTGTGTTTTGAAAGGAAGCTTTTCCTGGCGGAATGCCTGGTGTAGTCACAATGTGAAGGTGACTGACTGGAATGGTTTGCATGTATTGGATAATTGGCATTTCACTAATCACTTATTGCTGTGTCAATGCTTTGTCAGATTTCCTGACAGTTTCAAATGTAATAAATCAATAAACTCTTCCTCTGTGACATTTTTACTTTAGGGCAGACTCTGTCAGGATTTCCCTATGATTCCAGCTTTGAATACTCCACTGGTTTGCCGGCAGCAATGGTATGACTTTTAAAAAAACAATACATGCAGCTCATGGCTCTTAGTCCACTCACATCCCCCAGTATATCACGCTTCTGTCCTACTCAAACACAAACAGACCCAGTCTTCTCTGCAGTTTACGATATACTGCTGCAAAATATAGACACTTACTGTCACATTCTTCATACTGACGTATGTTCATGCACATTCAAACACATGCATGTGCAAAGACTCGCAGCCTCCAGGCAGTGTCCCATTTGTAGTGTTCTCAGTCCATGCAGGAGCTTGTTAGCACTGACACTCCGGTATGAGATCTGACAGACACTGAAATGGCCTCCTCCTGCACACACACACACACACACACACACACACACACACACACACTTATGCAGACATGTGAAAGAGTGTGCCGCAGAGCTTTTATCACTGCAGTTGCCATTGTGTGTAGCAAAACACACAAACACACACACACACAAGCGTACTTTCATTGGTCCTAGTGGATGGGTTTCTCTGTTGCACAGAAACAGTCAACTGAAAGAAAGAGAGAAAGACCAGAAACTGACATAATGAAGCAGCTACCTCACACTGGTTAGATTTATTTAAAAAAAATTAACAAAGGAAAGGGAGAGAAGAGCATTGAAATTCCTAAAACTGTATAATCCATATTAGATTAATTGTTTTTACGAAGACAATGTTCTTTTGTTTATTACGGCTCATTACATGTGCAGTTTTTTTTCTCATCATTATGGCTAATTTATCTGGGCAATGTTCACAGTCAGAACAAATCTCTGGATTTCAAAAACAATTCAAAGACAGTCTCAAACTACTGACGTGATGCATTTTTAAACTGCAGAGCCTGGATTTTTTTGGTAAACACATGGGCATGAGTCTCCAACAAGGTCAGCAAAGGTCTCCCCTGATCTACAGGAACTGAAAATAACGTGTCAGTGGCAACATTATAGACTGAACTTTTAAAAGCATTTTCTCTTGGCTGTTATGGTAGGGCTAAAGGGAAAGTCTGAAGCTTAAGGTGTTAGTTCACCCACCTGTCATTATTTACTCACCCTCATGTCATTCCAGCCGTATGATTTTTTCTTCTGTGGTGCACAGTTTTGACACATTCATGCAATTCTTTTCCATACAATGGGGATGGATGCTATCAAGTCCTACATTAAAATGCATGATAAAAGTCTTATAAAGTCCATGCAACTCAAGTACTATATTTCAAGTCTTCTGAAGCCATATGATATTTGTGTGATGAACGGACAGAAATGAACAACATTATTTGCTTAAAATATTCCACCCTGATGTACTTAAATCTAATTACAATTTGGCAGTGATGCTCACATGTCTTGTGACCAGTTGTTGTGTGACAAGTTTTAAAATGCTGTGAGAGATTTTTCAGTGAGTAATGATTTAAATAAAAAGCCATTCACAAAGCTTCAGAACATTTAGCAACAGAGTCAGTTTGAAAATGCTTCCTAACATCTTGCTTTTTTCTGTTTCACAGACGAAAGAAATGCATGTTGGTTTGGAATTACATGAGGGTGAGTAAATGATGACTGAATTTTTATTTTTGGGTGAACTATTCCTTTAACTATTCTGGAATCATTCATTTATGTAAAAGCTTTTAAAAAGCAGACCAATTTATAAGGTCACGGAGCAGTAGAGAAAACACGAGACATGAAGCAAATCACTGCAAAAGATATTTTGGAACAACTGTAATGTGTAA